TTGGCCTACTACCCTAGACCTTCCTTTTGAGGCAAATTGCTCTCCCAGGGTTCTGCATCCCAGCCCTGTCCACATTTTTTTCTCATTCTTTCTACTATACTTTGATCTCCCTCTCCTCCTCTTCACTAACATCCCCCTAACAGCCTTCAAAATATTCTAGTCTGTTGCATCTTAAAACACACACCAATAAATAGAAATTTATTTAATTCCACATAGCTAACCAGTTGTTCCCTAGCCCCACAGAGACTGCACTTTCAACAAACAACATGCACGCTGTTCCTATTGAGGAGGCATCAGGCCAGCAACATGTCACAGTGCCTGCCCTGGAGTAGGGGCTTTACTTGATCACCTAGGCAAGTGGCATAAGAACTGAAAACTAGAAGTAACCAGATAGGAATGGCCTCAACTTTCTGCCACCAAAACCTCCAGACTCATTAGCAAATACACTTCCAGTTACGACCCTAGACCTTCCTTTTGAGGCAAATTGCTCTCCCAGGATTCTGCATCCCAGCCCTGCCCATATTCTTTTCTCATTCTCTCTACTGTATCCTCACCTCCCTCTCCTCCTCTCCACTAACATTCACCCAACAGCCTTCAACATGTTCTAATCTGTTCCATCTTAAAACACACACCAACCACAGAATGCCTCCTCTCTCAATCCCCCAGCACCTCTCACTAATGCTTACCTTTTATCTCTCTTTCATAGCCAAACTTCTTCAAAGATTTCCATTCTTTTCCTTTGAGACAGAGTCTCACTCTCATCCAGGCTTGAGTACAATGGCGCGATCTCAGCTCACTGGGACCTCTGCCTCCTGGGTTCAAGCAATTCTCCTGCCTCAGCCTCCCAAGTAGCTGGGATTACAGGCACCCACCACCACACCCAGCTAATTTTGTATTTTTACTAGACATGGGGCTTCACCATATTGGCCAGGCTGTTCTCGAACTCCTGACCTCAAGTGATTTGCCTACCTTGGCCTCCCAAAATGCTGGGATTACAGGCATGAGCCACCATGCCCTGCTGAGTTCCACTTTTTCACCACTTTTCTCAACACCTCATCTTTACCACTCAGCTCAAATTGCCCCAGCAAAGATCACCAATGACCTCTATCATTAAGTCCAACCAAAGGACTGGTCAGGAGTGCCTGGGAGTAGAGGATTTATACTTTCCATCTGGCTCTCTTCTCTACTGTCTGAATTTTTTATTTCCATGTACATGTTTTGCCTTTATTAAAATAATAATGACTATGATTGCCTACAAGCAGTTTTTAATCCTCCTCTTCCTTGAAGGTTCAGGCATAGCCAACACCATGGACCAGTTTCCCCTTGAGATATGTCCTTCCTCATTTTCATGTCACCATAGCCTCCTCTCTGGCCCCTTCTTCTGGCAAAACCCTCTTCTTCCCATGCTCTCAATATTGGCTTCCTTGAAGTTCTGTCCCGATTTTCTCATTAGATACTGTTTCCTTGGGGGATTTCATCTATACCTTGGCTTCAGTTATAGCTGATACGAGGATGACTCCCCACCTCTGGGTTCAATTCAGATCTCTCTGCTGAACTCCAGACCCAGAGATCCACAGCCTCCTTGGAAATCTCTACCTGATCGCCTCACCATTTTCCTTCATCACACCTACTCCTGTTCCCATTATACCTATCTCAGTAACACGAATCACCATCTATCTAACTGCACAAGCCAGAAGCCTGGAAATCATTCTTGACTCCTTCTTACTCTATTGATTTTGCCCCCTAAATCTCTCTCCAAATATTCACATTTCTTCATCCCCCGGCCACTTTTATTTCATACCTGGATTACTGCAGCTGCCTAAGTGAGCTCTCAATCTTTGCTATACTCCAGCTAGAGTGGACCTTCAAATCCAAACCTGAATATGTCATAATTCTGCTTCAAATACCTCATTGCCTCCCCCAACCACTGTCTCTTGGATTGTCTAAACTCCTCATCATAGCTACAGAGCCCTTCGTGACCTGTCCCCTACCAACTGCCCAGACTCATCTCCTATACTCCTCTTCCCATGATTATCCCTATCAGTCCCTGTGAATATCTGTCAGTTCCTGGGATAGGCCATTGCCTCTTGTCTCCAGGCCTTTTGCACGTGCGCACCTTCCATTTGGAATGCCCTCTTCTTCCCCACGCCATCCTCTCCATCTGCTAGACTAACTCCTCATCCTCCAATGTCAGTTCAAAGGTCACTTTTCCCAAGAGGCCTCCTTTTTACCCTGGACTCCGTCCCGACTGTGTGCTCCCCTGCAGGCTGCACTTCACTGCTCATGGCATTTATCCTGCTTGTTGTGGCTGTTTATTTAACATGTTTTCTGAAAGCAAGACTATGTCTCATCCACCTTTTTGTTCCTAGTTTCTATTAGTGCTTGGCACAGAGCATATGTTCACCAGATATGAGGAAGCTATGCAGTCTTGACCTCAGTTCTTGGCCAACTGAAGATAAAAACACCCAAAGGAATAACTAGAATACAATGAAGTAAGTGCTATAACGGATTATATATGTGTTTGGATGCTTGTATTATTAAGTGCTGAAGGAACACAACTAACTAATTTTCTGTGTTAATCAAGAAAGGTGACATTAGAACTGGCTTGTCATTCATTTCATTCATTCATTGAATAATTTCTAGGTACCTATTTGAGCAAAGCACTGTTCCAGGAGCTGTGGATACAGCAGAAAACAAGACAGACATCATCCCTGCCTTCCCAGAGCTTATCTTAGTGAGGGAAGACAGAAATTAAACAAATACAGTAATTTCAAGTAATGATACATGCTTTGAAGAGTGCAAAACACTGTGGATGCTTACTCAGACAGGAGCAATAGGTGCATGTGTGTCTGTTTGCTTATGTTATGTTCCCTGGGAATTGTCACTTGAATATAACCTGAATGAGGGGATGGGGCCGATCATTCAAACATCTGCAGGAGACTGCTCTAGGCAGAGGGAACAGTGAGACCCACTGGTTTGAAGGACAGAAAAAGGCCAGTGTGGCAGAAATACAATGAGTACTTACATCTCTATCCCAGAACTTGTCCCTGAATTCCAGAATCACAGAGTCAACTGTCAACTGGACATCACCACTAGGATGTCTAAAGGCACCTCAACCTTCAATATCGAAAACCAACCTAATTTCCTCCCCCAAACCTGTTCCTTCACACTTCAGTAAATTACAATTCCATCATTCCAGTTGCTCAAGCCACAAATCTTGAAGTAATCCATGATTCTATCCCACATCCAAACCATCAACAAATCTCATTGGCTCTACCTTCAAAATATATCCAGAATCCAACTACTTCCCATCACCTCCACTGCTACCACCCTGGTCTGTGCTGAAACATTTGGATCTTAGCCTTTGTGCAAGGCAGAAACACTGAAGGTTTTTCGGGACTGAATGAAGAAGTGATGCAGACTTACAGGTGTGTTGGAGCCAACTGGTAAGTTCTGGAGAATGTTGCAAGACAGTTAACATCATTTGACTTGGGCATCATGGGAGTACTTTTACTACAGATATTGGCAAACGTTACAAATCAGGGCTTCCCTCCCACACTCACAGAGATCTGGGTGTCCAACACTTACCAGCACACAACTGCAGGTACAAATCTGCATTATGGAAAGATAACTGTGACAGGTATCATGTAATTCTTTACAGGTGTGTATATTTATGAACAAATGAGAATGACCTAAGGAACTTTTTGCATTCTATATTTGCCTGCCTCCACTCAGCTAAGGACCACTAGATAAGAGGCACTTGTAAAGAAGCTGTTTGCAGGGATGCAGGCAAGAGTGAAGGTACCGACCACACGAAAGCATAGGAGAGTTTTGAGAGATATCTAGAAGTAGGAAAAACGGGCTTTATTTACTCTGAGAGAGCTAGATTCCTTTCCTTCATCTCACTTCTTAGTTGATAATCATAGACTCATTTCTGTGATTCTGTCTTCCCCTCTAATGCAGCCTGTGAGGGCAGGGGCTGCACATTTGCTCACCATTGTATCCCCAGAGCCCAGCCTAATGCCTGCATATACAGCAAGACCTCACTGAAGAGCCATTAAATAAATAAAAGGAGGGACAATGCAGAGGAGAAGAAAGAGTCAAGGATGGCACTCAGGTTTATTGCTGAGGTGACAAAAAGGAGAAATGTGGGAAAAAGATTAAGTGTGGTTGGGGGTATGGAGAAGAGGATCTGGGAAATGTTGACTTGAAGTGCCTCTGAATATCCAGGTAATGATGTCCAGGTGGCAGCTGGAAACACGTTTTATTTTATTTTATTTTGAGACAGAGTTGCGCTCTAGTCACCTAGGCTAGAGTGCAATGGCACGATCTCGCCTCACTGCAACCTCTGCCTCCTAGGTTTAAGTTATTCTCCTGTCTCAGCCTCCCAAGTAGCTGGGATTACAGGGTGCCCACAGCCATGGCCGGCTTATTTTTATATTTTTAGTAGAGACAGGGTTTTGCCATGTTTGCCAGGCTGCTCCTGAACTCCTGACCTCAGGTGATCCACCTGCCTTGGCCTCCCAAAGTGCTGGGATTACAGGCGTGAGCCACTGCGCCCGGCCTGGAAATAATGTGTTTTTGCTATTTTTTTTTTCTTTTCTGAGACAGAGTCTCACTCTGTCACCCAGGTTGGAGTACAGTGGCACAACCTCGGCTCACTGCAACATCCACCTCCCTGGTTCAAGCAATTCTCCTGTCTCAGCCTCCTGAGTAGCTGGGACTACAGGCACCCGCTACTACACCCAGCTAATTTTTGTATTTTTAGAAGAGATGGGGTTTCACCATATTGGTCAGGCTGGTCTTGACCTCAGGCGATTTGCCCTCAGGCGATCTGCCCACCTCGGCCTCCCAAAGTGCTGGTGGCATGAGCCACTGTGCCCTGCTGGAAATATGTTTTAAATCTCAGAGGGAGCCCCCTGACTATAAGATGCAATTCTCTTCCCTTAGAATCTGAACTGTCCCTATGGGAGTGTCAACTTCCCTCTCTCAAGACTCACCCGAACCTCGGCCTCTCGGGGCCTCCCATTGAGGTCGCACTTGGACCCATTGCCATAGGTCTGGCTGTGGTAGCGTTTCAGACGATGCTGCTTGGAGGCCTGGAGAAGACATGAGGCAGGAGTGGGGGACATGAGAAAGACAGCAAAGAGGAAGGATGGCACTGCGTCCCCAAAGAGACAAAAGAATGGCCTGTGCCCCCAGGCCCCAGGAAACTTTGTCCTAATGGCCACCAAGCCCCAAGAAACAGATCAGCTAATCTTGACCCTCCCCTTCTTGTCAGGGCTTTCAGCCAGTGGCCAGAACCCCTTCTCCCCGAATCCCACACTCTTGCCACCTTGGCTGTTTCATCATCCCAGTCGAAGGCCGATTGGTAGTAGCCAAGATAGAGGACTTCACCTTTGATCTCTGAATCTGCAAGAGAAGCCACAGAGAAGCACTGTTACCCTTAAGAGGAGTAGGAGGGAACTGGGGAAGCAGGTTACCTTCAATGATATGATGCTGAGGGCTTAAGGAAAACATAGGAGGGAGTTACCTTCCATGTGGTATTGCTGGATGTGGCGTCCATAACAGAATTCATATGTCCACCAGTCCTTTGTCTGACAATTAAAAATTAAACAATCAGGGGGATGGGGTGCAGACGTCTTTTATTGGAATCAGAGTCTCCTGGCTCCAAGACACATAGCCTCTCATCTACTTGCACACTCAATTCTCTTCCCTTCACTTCCACTCTCAATTCTCCAGACTTTCAGTAAGGAGGGAAGGCTGCTTTCCTTCTGTGACGTAGAGAGTTATCTCTACAGTCTGTTTTCCACTTGTGGTCTTTCCATTCCTCCCTCTTAAAAGATTTTTTAAATCCTCATTTCCCCTCCATAAAGATAAGAAATTATGGTATCACTGAAGCAATCATATTAGGGAAACATAGAAGAACCCAAAATTAAATATTAATTGAACTTCTTGGACATTCCTTGCACTGTTCTGGCCACTGGGAATACAACTATGAACAAGATAAATTATTTGACCTCATGGAGTTTACATTCTAATGCTGGGATTCAGACTGAAAATAAACAAACTGATTCAGTTAATATGATTTCAGATCATGAAAAGTGCTACGACGAAAATAAAATTGGATACTGGAGTGGAGTGATAGGGCAGGGGGTGACTTTAGCAGGTAGGCTTAAGGAAGTACTCCTCCTACCCACGCAGACCCTCAGTCTTGCTTTAGCCCTTTTCTGTGATCTTCTTTTTTGTTTTTTGTTTTTTGGGTTTTTTTGAGACAGAGTTTCACTCTGTCGCCCAGGCTGGAGTGCAGTGGCTCGATCTCAGCTCACTGCAAGCTCCGCCTCCCGGGTTCACGCCATTCTCCTGCCTCAGCCTCCCGAGTAGCTGGGATTACAGGCGCCCGCCACCACGCCCAGCTAATTTTTTTTTTTTTTTTTTTTTTTTTGTATTTTTAGTAGAGACAGGGTTTCACCGTGGTCTTGATCTCCTGACCTCGTGATCCGCCCGCCTTGGCTTCCCAAAGTGCTGGGATTACAGGCGTGAGCCACCGCGCCCGGCCTTTTCTGAGATCTTCTATCCTAACCTGCTCCTACATTCAGCAAAGTGTCATCAATGGTTACAGGATTCTTTGCTTCTTTCTTGTCCGTGTAATCTGTCTACTCCTCCAGTGGTCTTCTTAACCACTACAGGTCCCCTAGATCCTGCCTCATTCACTGGACTACAGTACTCGGATGAACTGCTAGTTCCCAAGCCCTCATTCTATCTAACCCAGTCCCTTTCACCTTCAGCAAGCAGGGAGCATCTCTCATTGGGCTCAACAACTCAGGGATCCCAGGCCCTTGGTAAGCAGGTGTTTCCTCCTCCCTTTCACGCTGGAAGTGAATAGCTCCAGCTGGCAGGCGACACTCATAGCGCTGTTTGTACTTAGAGGAGACAATCACCACGTCCGAAGATTGGCTCTGGGAAAGAAGGGAGGGTCGGGGGGCAAGGAAGCAAAGAAAGGCTGGGATCAGGGAAAACAACGAAATCCCTCTTCAGACCCTGGGGAAGAGCTCAGTCGAAGACAGAATAAGCCACGAGCTCTCCAGCTGTATTTAGTGGGTGAGGCGAGAGGGCGCTCCCATTTCTCCACGGGAACGGAGTCCGGGTGTTTCGATAGTAAACTGAGACCTGAACGTTGACAGCGGGAAGCCCCACCTCTCCCAATTCCTGGCCCCTAGAGAATGGGTCTCAGTCTGCGATCCCCAGCGGTCACCGTAAAAGCAATACCTACTCTTCCCGATTTCCCGTAGGCTCCAGCCCCAGACTTGGGAGCTGCCCTTCTTCCTCTCTTACCCGCTTCCTCTTCTGCCCGGACCCTCGCCCCTTATACGCCTCTCACCTGCCCTCCCATGACAGGCAACGGCAGGATCTCGATCCCATAACGCATCTCACTCAGCTCCTCCAGGTTCAGGCTCCCAACACCGCCAGTCAGACTTGCGGGTAACAGGAGTCCCAGAAGCAGCAGTCCCAACACACTGGACAGCACCGTTTCCGCCGCCATCTTTCGTTCCCCCTCTTATCCAGAGAATCTGTTTCCGCCCTAAGCCTGGCAGCGGCCTCAACACGCCCATCGGCGCCACATGATTTTATTGGCTATACGTTCTATCCCTCCCACGTACCCTATTCCTATTTGTAAACGTAGCTTCAAGGCCCCGGGGAGGTGGATCACGACGATTAGAAAAATCAATTGCTGTCTGTGATTGGTCAGAGACCAGCCAATCATCGACAAGATCAAACCCCTCTCGCCTACCCCAATTTCAGAGGCGTGGTCTATGCGCTTGGCCCTTTTATGTTTGCCCTCTGTTTTCGCCTAAATGTCATGCGCATCTCATTGCTTTTTCAGATGTTTCTACCTGCCCACCGCTGGGCGGAGTGCCCATGAAGGTTATTCAATGCTTGTTGCAAAACAAATAATTATTATACAGACGCTTACCTCTTTTCATATATACATATTGCTTAGGGGCAATAAGAAAATTTGTGTCAAAATCTTCCTATACGATCCTGCAGTTGACCTCCAAAAAAACTATCCTAGAGAAATAATGCGGTCAGACGCGGTGGCACGCACCGGTGGTATCAGCTACTCCGGAAGCTGAGGCAGGAGGATCTCCCGAGCCCAGGAGTTCAAGTGCAGCCTGCACAACACAGCGAAACCGGGTCTCAAATAAGTGAGTACATACATACATACATACAGGGGCTTCCAGTTAAAGGTGGAATTATGTATTACTTTCCAGGCCGTAAGAAAGGGAAAGGAGACAACAACAGCAACATTTTGGAAGCTGGAAATCGAACCGAAGAATGGTAACTGGTTTAGCAAACTTGAGAATATTGATTACAAAACAAAGGTAAACAAGAGCCTGATTATACCTTTGGAAAATCCTCTCTGGGGAATCTCACCAGCTCCAAAGAAAAATCCCAAAGATACCCTCATCAGAATTCTCTTAATGATATAGATAATTATAATGAATTCCACATGTAAGACTTTGGCCTAGGTGCCCCAGCCCTCATTTCACTTTCCAATCAGCGTTTTAGTGTTCTTACTCTTCAAAATAAATAGCCGGAGATCATTAGACGTTTAAGGAAGGACTTTAATATACAAGTAAGAAACAAAAACAAACAAAAAGGAAAAAGCAAATGAGAGGAAACATAAATTGCAACGGAGTGGGGGGAAAAAAAAAACACCAAAAATAAAACATTTAAAAATTGGCCAGGCACGGTGGTTCATGCCTGTAATCCCAAAACTTTGGGAGGCCAAGGTGGGTGGATCACTTGAGGTCAGGAGTTCAAGACCAGCCTGGCTAATGTGGTGAAACCCCGTATTTACTAAAAATACGAAAATTAGCTGGGCATGGTGGCACACGCCTGTAGCTACTCAGGAGGCTGAGGCCGAAGAATTGATTGAACCTGGGAGGCAGAAGTTGCCTTGAGCTGAGATTGCGGCACTGCATTCCAGCCTAGGCCACAGAGCTAGACTCCATATAAAACAACAAAACATTAAAAATAATCCATCATCAGACTTCTCAAAGAGATATTATAGTGCATTCATAAAATAACAACAGGAAACTACTTGAGAGTAACTACTATTTCGATAAGCAAAAAGAGCTCTTGGAAACTAAAACCATGTTACAGAAATAAAAATTCTGTACAAAGACTGGAGGATAAAGTTGAAGAAGATCAAATTTGTTCTATTTTAGGAGAAAACATAAAAATTAAAGGATCAGTCCAGAAGGTCTGGACGAAATAAGAGTTCTAAATTAGAGTTCCAGAAAGAGAACAGAGAATCAGAAGCAAAGAAATCATCAAAAAAATTATTTAAAAGGACTAACCCAAACTGAAGAACAGAGTCTCCAAATTGAACGGGCACCCTAAGTATCCAGAACAACAAATTAAACCCACACCAAGACACATCATTATAGAATCTCAGAGCACTGGACACAGAGAAACAATTCTAACAGCTTCCAGAAAGAAAGAACAAGTTGCATATACAGACAAAAAATCAGAACATGTGACTTCATGTTGTTGCTTTGTTAATAAATTTTTTAAAAATCAGAACAGCATTAGGATTAAGAATCAGAACACCATTACTACCCAAAGCAATCTATAGATTCAATACAATCCCTATCAAAATACCAATGACATTCTTAACAGAAATAGAAAAAACAACCCTAAAAGACCTAGAATGGAACCACAAAAGACCTAGAGTAGCCAAAGCTATCCCGAGAAAAAAGAACAAAACTGGAGAAATCACATTATGTGACTTCAAATTATACTACAGAGCTATAATAACCAAAACAGCATGGTACTGGCATAAAAACAGACACAGACCAATGGAATGGAATACAGAATCCAGAAACAAGTCCATATATCTGTAGTGAACTCATTTTTGACAAAGGTGCCAAGAACAGACACTGGAGGAAAGACAGTTCTTCAATAAATGGCACAGGGAAGACTAGATATCCGTATGCAGAAGAATAAAACTTGACCCCTATCTCTTGCCATACATAAAAATCAAATCAAAATGGCTTAAAGACTTACATCTATGACCTGAAACTATTAAACTACTGTAAGAAAACATTGAGGAGCCTCTCTGGGACATTGGCCTGGGCAAAAATTTCTTGAGATACCCTACAAGCACAGGTAACCAAAACAAAAATGGACAAATAGAATCACATCAAGTTAAAAAGCTTCTGCACAGCAAAGAAAACAGTCAACAAAGTGAAGAGACAACCCACAGAATGGGAGAAAATACTTGCAAACTACTCATCTGACAAGGGAGTAGTAACCAGAATATATAAGGAGCACAAACAAAAGAAAAAAATCTAATAATCTGATTTTAAAATGGGCAAAAGATCTGAATAGACATTTCTCAAAAGAAGACATACAAATGGCAAACAGGTGTATGAAAAGGTACTCAACATGATTGATCATCAGAGAAATGCAAATCAAAACTACAATGAGATATCATCTCACTCCAGTTTAAATGGCTTTTACCCAAAAGATAGGCAATAACACATATTCGAGAGGATGTGGAGAAAAGGGAACACTTGTACACTGTTGGTGTGAATGTAAATTAGTACAATCACTATGGAAAACAGTTTGGAGTTTCCTCAAAAAACTAAAAATAGAGCTACCATAAAATTCAGCAATCCCACTGATGGGTATATACCCAACAGAAAGGAAATCAATATATCGAAATGATATCTGTACTCCCATTTTTGTTGCAGCACCATTCACAATAGCTAAGATTTGGAGGCAACCTAAGTGTCCATCAACAGATGGATTTAAAAAATGTAGTGCATATACACATAGGAGTACTTACTATTCAGCCATGGAAAAGAATGAGATCCTGTCACTTGCAACAACATGGATGGATCTGGAGGTCATTATGTCAAGTGAAATAAGCCAGGCACAGAAAGACAAACTTCACATGTTCTCACTTATTTTTGAGAGCTAAAAATCAAAGCAGTTGAATTCACAGAGATAGAGAGTAGAAGGATGGTTACCAAATGCTGGGAAGGGTAGTGAGGGGTTGGGGAGAAGTAGGGATGGCTAATGGGTACAAAACATAGAAATAATGAAAAACACCTAGTATTTGATAGCATAACAGGGTAACTATAGTGAATAATAATTGTACATTTTAAAATAAAGAGTATAATTGGATCGTTTGTAACACAAAGGATAAATTCTTCAGGGGATGGATACTCTTTTTTTTTTTTTTTTTTTTTTTTTTTTTTTTTTGAGACAGAGTCTCGCTCTATCACCCAGGCTGGAGTACAGTGGCATGATCTCAGCTCACTGCAAGCTCCGCCTCCTGGTTCACGCCATTCACCTGCCTCAGCCTCCTGAGTAGCTGAGACTACAGGCGCCCACCACCACGCCCGGCTAATATTTTGTATTTTTAGTAGAGACGGAGTTTCACCGTGTTAGCCAGGATGGTCTCGATCTCCTGACCTTGTGATCCGCCCGTCTCGGCCTCCTAAAGTGCTGAGATTACAGGCATGAGCCACCGCACCCGACCGGATACTCCATTTTTCATGATGTGATTATTACTTATTGTATGTCTGTATCAAAGTATCTCATGTACCCCATAAATATATACATATATACACCACTGTGTGCCCACACAAATTTAAAATACAATTTTTTAAATTTAAAAAAAGGAATCAGAACAGCATTGGGCTTACAAACTCATCAACATTGGGAGGGCTGGGTGTGGTGCCTCACTCCTGTAATCCCAGCACTTTGGGAGGCTGAGATGGGAGGATCACTTGAGCCCAAGAGTTTGAGACCAGCCAGGACAACATAGGGAGACTCCATCTTTACAAAAAAATAAAAAATGAAAAAGTAGCAGGGCATGGTAGCAAGTGCCTGTGATCCCAGCTGCTTGGGAGGCTGAGGTAGGAGTGTTACTTGAGCCCAGGAGGTCAAGGCTGCAGTCAGCCATGAACACGCCACGGTACACAACCAGCCTGGGTGACAGAGTGAGACCCTGTCTCTTAAAAAAGAAAAAATACATTGGGAGCTAGAAAATAATATAAAGTACCTTCAAATTTTTTAGGGAAATTATTTCCAACCTATAATTCTATACTCCACCAAACTAAAATGTTTGTTGATTCAACATTATTTTTATATAAATTTGTGGAATACAAGCGCAATTTTGTTACATGCATAGATTGTGTAGTGGTGAAGTCAGGGCTTTTAGGGTATCCATTACCCAGACAATGTGTATTGTACCCATTAAGTAATTTCTCATCATCCAGCCCCCTCAAACTCCATCATCCTTCTGAGTCTCCATTGTCTATTATTCCACACTCTGCGTCCATGTGTACACATTGTTTAGCTCCCACTTATAAGTGAGAACATGCAACATTTGTCTTTCTGTGTCTGACTTGTTTCACTTAAGATAATGGTCTCCCATTCCATCCATGTTTATGCAAAAGACAGATTTCATTCTTTTTTATGGCTGAATAGTATTTCATTGTGTATATATATGTGTGTATATATATATATACCACATTTTCTTTAACCAATCATCCATTGATATACACTTAGGTTGATTCCATATCTTTGCTATTGTGAATAGTGTTGCAGTAAACATACAAATACCAGTATCTTTTTGATATAATAATTTCTTTTCCTTGGGTAGATACCCAGTAATGGGATTGTGGGATCAAGTAGTAATTCTATTTTTTAGTTCTTTGAGAAACCTCCATTC